AAACCAAAACTCCTTGTTGGACCAGATCAAGCCTCCCTGCAGCATGAAACCACCACGACTGAGCAGTGGTGATGTTTATCACTTATGCCTTCAACTTTTCATTTGTAAAAGCAAAAATGTCTTAATTCTTCTTTTAAAAGTTACATAGTAATGTTTTGATATGAGTGAACGGCTTTGTCTGATTAATCATTAACCATCATTAATCATAATATAATATATGACACTTCAATGAAAACTGAACAAAATCTATGCATTATTAGGCAAGAAAGGTTTTCCACAATGATAAACTATGTGTGATAAAAAAAGAAACTGAATCAAATGGAAACTTTGCAAACAAATCTTTCAACAAGTTATCTGAAGACAAACACATTTGCCTTACCAAGCCCCTAACATGACAGAGCCATTGACATTTAAATAAAACTTCATGTAATCTTACTCACATGTTTTCATGAAGTAGACTTTTTGGCCTTCAAATCAAACCTTTCTTCCCGGTGGCAGGCCTTTCTTTCATTTAAGCCTGTTTTTTAAATATTATTTTAAATTATGCTAAGAGTTCACAGAAGTAAGTGTAGACCTGGGTATAAATGAAAAGAAGCAGGAAGTAGACTGGCTTGTAGGTTGTTTAAATATTATGTGGCGAAGTGCACTTTATCAACGTGGAGGCTGGGTGGAGCCCATTCAAAGCAGTGAAACAAGAGCTGCGAACAGGTTAAACGGGATACACAGTCATCCGGACACAGTAAAGCAGATTCTGTTGCAAGAAAGTTCTATCATTAGCACCCTGACGAACACATAACCAATTATCAAGCAAAATCAAATCACAACATAACCAATTATCAAGCAAAATCAAAGCACAATTTATTTACAAGTAATCAATAGTTAAAAGATGGAAGCATCAGACAATACTATGTATGAACAAAGGTGCCAAACGTCCAGCTTCTTTAATGTGACGACTTACTACTTTTTTCTGTTGATAATTTATACAAAAGATGATCAACAGATTAATCGATAATGAACACAACCGATTTGGTGTTCTATCTAACGCTTTCCCCCTTTATTTTAACAAATATTATGAAGCATTTCCACACACCTTTCTTCCACCTTCTGAAATGTGCAAAGTTGCTGGTTTTATTTATCTTGCATAAGCATAAGCAGATCAGTCTCCAGGGGCCTCTAAGCTCAAGCTCAGGAGTTTCATACTCTGTGGCCTATACATGGCTGCATTTCTCTGACGGCAGACCAGGAGCTGAAAGACTCTTTCATGAGAGGGCCCTGAGCCAAACAGCAGTCCACTCCAGCAGCATCAGCAGTGGCCCCACACCCTAAGGCAAGAAGGCAGTCTTCTCTGAACATGTGGCTGATAGTTAACCAACATCAAATGCTGCTTTTTATGCACCGGATTCTGATTTTAAACAGATCACCTTCACTGAAACAACAATAACGTACCCCTTCGTCTCCTCCTGCCGGAACGCTGAACCCCTGTCATTGAATTTACGTTACTGGACCTCCACAGTCAGTCCTGTAGTCCACGCTTATTATTTGCCGTGAAACCATGACTAAGGGGTTGTTACAATGCTGGTGAACTTTAACTAGACTTAGCGGATTATGAGTCCAGTCCAAAGGGGCAACAATCCTTACAGGAGACCAACACAGTACACCAACCACCAACCAAGTCCAGGCACCAGAGGTGAAGAAAGCACTTGTCACCTGCATAGTATCTTTACCTGCATTAAGTTGAAAAGCTACAAATCCTTCAGGCTAAACAGATGTTAACGACAAAACAATAACTTGATTCTTATGGTAGTTATAAAATCTAACGCAATCCAACACAACAATAAGATATGTTACTGAGGTTGTAGTGGGCAGAGGTGCTGAACTGGTCCGTAATATACTGAGAGACGTTTCTGATGGTTTGCCCACCCCATTTTTGTTAACATGACGGTATGTAAGAGACACCTCTCAATATAAAGCAGTCCAGTCCACCATTACCTTCGACCTCAGAGTGAATTTTGATGAAAGGCAATTATCACCTAGCTGTATGAGGTTAAACTTACTGATGGGGTGCAACTAGCCATAATTCTCATTATTCATATGGTCCATAACCTGATGGAAACCAGTGACAGATGCTCATCAAGGTGAGTTTATCAAACTGTTTGTATAAATGCCAATTTATAATCCAACGTTATTCAATTTACATAAAAAAAAATACAGAAAATCTATTTTTTTAAACATTCTGCTTGAAACAATGATTTAATCTGTTACCAATTTGTTTTCTATTGATCAACATCAATTATCTACTAACTGTTTCACAGAAAAAAAGCAGCTTCTGACTTTGCTAAAGTGGTTCTTAAAGTAATTCTGCACAATAAATCATCATAATGTGAAGACATCCATTTCTTACAACACAGGTAGTTGCATGTGGTCCTGTTTAGCAACAAAAGCCCCCTAAAGATATCAGTGCTTCTTAGTGCATCTCTGCTTTGGTGTTGCTGATTTACTATGTGCCACCATAACAACTAGGGAGCAGCGTTGCAAAGGTGACTGGTTAAAGAATATGTGTGAGGGTCATACATATGTAACTCAGTGCTATGAGGCAGATTCTGAGATTTCAGCACATCAAGGACCACACAACTAATGTGCTTCACACCACAGACCTGCTTTTATGTGGCTTGGGTCAGATAGAGGAGTCTGTATAATAACCTAATCCAGAATAAAGACCATTTCAGAGGCCCCAGTTGGCAGTGGGACATTCTTACTTTGCTATTTGCAGGCCTTTTATTCATAAACCATCAAGCCTTTGTGCTTATTAACGACTGAGCAAAGTATAGCCAGCTGTTTAACTTATTACTAACAGACTGATGGTAGCGTTTGTTTTGTAGGGAAGAGCAGTGATTTTAGTTCTCTCCTTTTTTTTTTACACCCATACACATCCTATCTATATGTGTGTAACGTTATGTGCCCCTGTCCTACCAGCATTGCAGAGGTTAACAAGCATGCCATCACAAATCGCGGCGTTCAGAAGCGACCTCGTACCTCTGTGAACCCACAGCCTGTCACGTCGCTTCCTACTCTGCAGATATCACATATTCCCCTTCATTATTGTGCCACTACCTTCCTCAGCTCCTTTGCCTGCGTTAGCCTTTAGCAGACCACCGATTAGTACTTCCTGTATGTGCTGACGACGACAGCATCGCGCACTGCCTGCGCCCCGCCCCCCGCGGATAGAAACGTCTGTCAGATGTTGCCTTCAAGTCCTGTCGGAATTATGACAGCTACAAACAAGTACAATGCGGCATCTACAGTGTCTCACACAAAGAGACGCACATCGGCTAGAGATTCACAACTACAGGCACAAAACCACCACAGACATGAAATAACAAAAAAATGACACACAAATATGATTTGTTAAACCTTAAGGAAACTTTGAGGAAAATGTGCATTAAACCAATTTAATACAAGCTATAAATTTATTCGACTTTGTTGGAAAGATCTATTCATTGTTAACAGTGCACTTAATACTAAAACCTTAAAAAACAAATTGTCTGTGCAAATTGTGCAGAGCTTTAGGTTTTCCCCCCACTAATTTGCATCTGCCAGTTGTGTGTCTCCAACACACCTGTGTGTCTCCATTCTTTAACACATCACTTGGTACTTTTGGTAAAATGAAACCAAGAACGTGGTTTTACTGTATTCACTCTGAAAATTACAGTATGTGACATTGCTTATATAATGTTAAACATCTTCTTTTCCTTTTAGTTTTGCTAAGCATACCTATAATACATTAGCTTATGGCCTTTAGATCCTTATTGTGCTGCCACTCTTCACAATCTCCGGATTAACTGACACAATCACTATTCAAATATTTGCAAAGGAGCCTAGGCCGACACAGAGGCGGGATGTTTCTTTAGAGGAGGATGTAACTCCGGGGCCAGAGCTTTAAAACAACACCAGTTTTTATTTGGCAAACCCTGTGTGATACAGAATACTGTAAGGCACTCTCATGGGAAATAACTGTAAAGCCAGTGAGCACAACAGTAAAAATGTGGCACGTGTAAAACCAGGAAAAGCAAGGGGGGGAAACAGTAATGTAGAAAAAAAAATTAACAAAACACCAATCACGGTTTGATTGTCAGGTACTTAGACTGAAAGGATTACATAGTAAACTTACTGATTACCTCGATATCACTGAATTAGTTGGATGTTTTAAAAACCTCACTGAACTCAAACATATATTCAACTTCTACAGAGGTAGCTGATCCACATTCATTTGGCTACCTTTACACCCTTAAATATCAAGTTGTACCAATATTTGACTTAATTTTATATCAGACACCGGTTATTAACTGCTCTCAAAGAATATTAACCATTTTCAGTGCATTAAAGCCATTTTTCAGTGGTCAATTCTTAAAAAAAAAGACAAACCAAACAATAACATAGCATTACAGCAGTTAAAGAGGGAGCTCCAGGTTGGTATGACCACACCACAGGACCAGCTGTTCAACCTCCTGTCTATAGGCTGAACATTTTCAATGCACTCATTGATTAAATACTATCAGCTTGTGTTGTGATCAACAATAATTCATTTTAGAGAAACAGTTTTTCTGCTGTTGAACTCAATTGAGAGCAATAAAAACATGTTCTAAACAGTCACAATGTCCATCTTCACAATTTCAAGCAGTTTTCCTGGCAAAGTGAATCTCACCCTGTTTGTTGATTTGTGTTTTTGCGTTAATAGCTCTCAAACTGCACTAAAAAAATCCAATAAAATGGGCACTGGAATAACCACAGATGTTCTGCTACAAAGACAACAATGGCACAGTCATATTCTCTCTTACCAAGACATTCTCCTTCAAACAGCAAATTAAAAAAAGTTTCAGCGTTCACCTCCTGTGAGTGGCACTTCAAACAATGCAGCATACATCCACCAAACAACTTAAAACAATTAAATGAACTAGGAACTTATCAGTGCAGCCACAAATATGCAAACACCTTGTGCAGGAAGAAAATGGGAGTGCAGAGAACAGTCCGAGTTGGAAATGAAACCATTGGCACACATCTTTATTTTAAAAGAAAACTCCCCTGTTGATTTCATGTGTTTGAATCTCGGTCCTTCAATAAGCTGGGGGCTGGTACTCCCCTGGGTTCTGCTGACTGTTGGAGAAAGGTGACTGCTGGTAACCCCCCGGGGGGCCAGTGGTGTACGGGGCTGGTGGGTATGGAGTACTGCGATCATTGGCTGGATCCCTGTATTCTTGGTCAAAGTCAGTCACGCCCTGTTGATACCTCGCAAATGCAAAGTAGGCCAACAAACCCTGTTGAAGGAAGGTGGAATCAGTAAGTGGAGCTTTTACACAGCTCTGACAAGTTTCCAACTAGCTGAGTTGTGTGTTATCATATGATTTTGTTAGTCATGTGTGGATGTAACAAGTGTCTCACCCAGCTGAAAACTGAGAAGAAGGAGAAGGTCACAATAGCCCGGGCAGCATCAGCATTGGCTGGAAAGGTTTCAGGGGTTTTGGACCACTGGTTGGCCAGAAAACAGAAGCACACAAACCACAGGAACGTCCAAGCAGCTGTCCCATGTTCAAAATAAAAAAGTAAACATTCGCAGATTAAGATGAAACACAATTAATAGCATTAACCTCCACTCATTTGCACTTCCTGTTTTTTTTTTCTTTCAAATATTCTAGTGTGAGCAATCAACAGTGAAACCTGACTCTCACCTGAGAAGACCAAATCTCCAATAACAATGAATTTCCTCTGATTGGCATTGCTGATCTGTGGGAAAAGGGCATCCAGTACGATGAAGACAACGCAAGCCATAAAGGCCAGGACTCCGATCCCCAGCCCGTAGCTGCAGGCGCCGTCATTCTTATTGAATATACATTCAGTTTCTGGCTCCACCGTTGGGTTAACATAGCCTTCTCCTGTGATGGATGCAAAGACCACAATAGAAAATATCTGCAAACAAAGGACACACGGGGTTAATGGTAGTGGCGGTGATGGGTGAAAAACATTGTGATTGTCATACGATTCACACTACAGGAAAGCTTTCATCATTTAAAAAAACATTTGAATTTACCTTAAAACATCTGTCATGTCAATTCAGACAACAGATGACTGTGGAAAAGTTTTAATTCCTGATCTATCTTAATGCTGGAACTACAGAAACTAGTGACATCCTCTCTGAGTGATCCTTGTTGCTCTTCTGTAAAAACACTTTCCACAGTTACCTGCCATATTGTAAACCTAATTGTAAATGTGTTTTTGAAGAGTGTTATGAAAGTAAAGTTTACTATTAAGACAAGACTGGCCCATACCAACTTCATCTACCTGATCTTTAACGTTACGCATTAGAAAACTACAACCAGCCAAAGCTCAACAGACAGAGCTGGATATCAATTCCAGATCTCTCCTATCACTGTAAACACTTCAGTGAAACGAGCAGCGTCTTCTGAGTTTTAATCGTTATTGGTTTTAAACTACAGTAGCTTAAGGAACATGACCCGTCATCTGGTTGGTGCGGTGACACAGCACTGGACACACTGGCTAACATTAACTAGCTAGCGTTAGTGTCAACTAGTGCGACAGAAAGTTAATCTTATCCCCATGATAGTTAACATGTATTTACAGTTTGCGCATAACCCCCCGTCCATGTTCGGTGTTAGCACCTCATAACGCTAACAAGCCGCAGCAGTGACTGATTTGGGTCGAGCGTGGCGGCTTACATCTGTTAACATAAAGACGGTGATGTGACAGCTGGCTAACTTTGATGCTAACGTCAACATTTCGGTGGAGCCACTCACCCAGCTCAGGAAGCGCAAAATGGTGTGAGGCTGCTTGATAAAGCTCTCACAATCAAAGGCACCACCGGCCAACGAGGCCCCGTAAGCACTGCTTTGCATTTTAATCAATTAAAAATGCCTGTGGAGCAGTTTAAAGACGATCTGAAAACTCTTCCTATCAATGTTGACACAGTTTCGTTTCTCCAAGCAACTTCCCCGGAAACTTTTTCAAAGACCGCCCCTGCTGTGGTGTGTTCAAGGGCTTCTAGTAAAGTGCGAGCACAGAGTTAAGTAGAAGAAATACTACTGTATTAACCAGACACCTCGCACACCTACGCCTTAAGAGTAAAAATGATTTATTAATTGATTTAAATGCTCTTAAATTGAAATAATAGCATGTTACATCACTTTTTTGCAGTCATCCTGAATATCTATTCTATATTGTACGATACTGGTGTCCATGACAAATATTTTATTTCCTTGTGAGTCTGTCTGAAATAGGAATAAACCTGAAACTCTAAGTATAATGTGTACATAATTTAATTAATTGCAAATATTTAAACAGACCCGAGAACTCTGTCATTTCTTTTTGTGTTTATATCTTTGGTTTTTCCAGTAAACAGTCTAACTGGTGTCATATGCTTTAACTAATTTAACTGGTGACCACTGGAGGATAGTGTAGGCTAAAACTTTTCAACATAATGATAAATATTAGAAACGTTTACAACTTTTTTGATTAAATCTGTCATTATTATTGCTCCCTATAAGCTACAAGGCATGTCAGAGATGGAGTCAGCTGTACTAATTGCAGATAAGGCACAGGTGTGTTGGAAGATGGAGCCTGAGGGACAGGAAGTATGGGTTACATGTGTTTTGAATGCCAAGAATAGAGTGTTACTACTTCCTTTTTTTTTTGTTCATAGCAGCCCTGTCAGATGGGTGATTAGTCTCACTGAGCGGTGGCTTTACACCACAAAAGGCTAAATTAAATAACCAAGAGCTAGTTTCACTGCGAAATTAGGTGCTCCTCCGCAGTCCTCTAACTGTGTGTGGCTGATGAGTGCTGATGTGAGCTGTGCCTTTGCATTTACACGACATCACTGAATACCATGGAACACAGTGTGAGCTTCAGTGTCAACATCTGCGAAATGGATCCTGACTATGAGTAAGTTCTCTGTTACTGTTTTGAAGGCTTGTTCTACTTGTTGCTGTTTATTTGTACCCAGGTGTCATGCTCTGTGTCTTTATGCTTTTGTGAGCTAGGGCACATTTTATCTTTAGATACGTTAAATACAGTATAGCCTAATTTAGCCTTTTATCATGACTCAGTGTTGTTTGTCCAAATTTTCTTGTCTCTAAATTGTGCTACTAATAAATAGATTTGTTTTTTAAATCTATCCTATTCAAAAGTCAAATTCCTTATAATGGACAGGTGTGAAAGTGTTTATGAGAAACATTCTCTATGCTTTTACAAATGAACCTTTTAGTGACTTTTGGACTAAACTGTCTTTATGTGCATTTGAAGTCCTTTTTGAGGCCTTTTGCTGTTTTTATACATGCTGCTGGGCTAAGGGTGACTTCTAATGGATACTCTTCTGCAGGAACCTGGGCGAAGACGAACCAGATGAGGAGCCCATTTTCCAGGACCTCAGAGAATCAGCAGCCAGCACCCAAAGGTCCCCAGAAACCCTGCAGATGGACATTTTTAGAGAATGCACAGGTTCGAATACAGAATGCTTGTCATTTGCTGCAACAGCATTTTCAATTGTAATATGTACAGATTGACAAACTTATAAAGTAAAAATATATAGTCCAATCAATCTTCTCTGACTGTTAAACTTTCTTCAAATGTAAATGTTTGTTCATAAATCATGAGTATGTACTGTTGTCATGAAGCAGAGTCAAATTCCTCATGTGTTCGACACACCTGGCCAATAAAGCAGATTCTGATTCTGACATAACTATGGGTTGATCTGAAAACCTTTCAAAATGATGTCACCTTCAGATAGCCAGTCAGATGGGACGCCCGACACAGAGCAGTCAGATGGGACGCCCGACACAGAGCAGCCAGATGGGACGCCCGACACAGAGCAGCCAGATGGGACGCCCGACACAGAGCAGCCAGATGGGACGCCCGACACAGAGCAGCCAGATGGGACGCCCGACACAGAACAGAGGAGCTCTCTGCAGAGGCACTGCTGGTCAGCTGCTACCCAGAAGGTTCTCTCATCCATGCCGAGTCGCACTGTTGGTGAGATGAAAAGTTTCTCTGCTGCCTCAGTTGTCACTGGGTGAATCTTTTTTTTTTTCACAGATAGCCAGATTGTTTTGAAAAGCCTAATTCTTTATGTGTTCATTTACATATGTAAACTAAACTGTCCACATAGGAAAATCTAGCACTGCTGTCACTTCCCAGCATTCATCTCAGCTTCACCAAAACCAGGCTTCCCCTCATGGTTCCGCTCACTCCTTCAGACCAGTCCGGGATGGCTTAAGCAAGGTAGATGTGAAGGAAATCAGTACTGAAGGTGAGAACAAAAAGAGCTAAACCAGTAACTGCTAAAACATTAGACAACTATTGTTGTTGCTTAAATTGACCATCCTGCTATTTACAAGCAGCTGCTTGTCTTTGAATGCAGCAGAAAATTAGGTCAGAGAATTTTTCCACTTCTGATTTACAGAAAACAAAAAGGAACGGTTGGTGTCCAGCATCCGAGGCCTCTCACTGGGTGAAGGCATACGCAAGTTGCGAGCAATGCCGCTTAGCTTGACAGATAAGATGGAGATCAGGTACATGTGGCACTGAACACTTGAAACTATCTACAACTAAAAAGTTGTAACAAGTGAGTTTTAAACAATTTTTTTCCAATATCATTTATTAGGCGACTTGCTTTCAGTGGCATAGCTGGAAATACACTCCTCAGCAGAAATATCCAGTGCTACAGTCATCTTAGAGCATATATTTTGAGGGTGAGTACAAACAGTGTGCTGCATAAGATATAAATAAGTTTTCTTTGTTTCAGTCATGTCTTTCTCCCCTCAGATGTGGCGTCAGTGCCTATTCAGCTGCCACATCATCCTCAGTTTCCTCCAATTGTGGCATTTGCCCATGAAAAGGCTGAGTGGACGTTTCGGAACCGGAGTTCTCTCCTACTTCCTGTTTCTCCAAACCCTCCTGCACTTCAACTTCCTCCTCTTGATCATCACTGGCCTGTTTGTGGTCTTCCCTCAAGCCATCAACCCTCCTCCTCTTTATGACTCGCATCTCAACAATCTGACTGGCCTTGAGCTTCTCATGGGCACGGTGAGACGGCCATACATCAGAACAGTAGGTACATGTTTATTTCTGTGGCACTCTCATGAGTCACGGGTTTCTCTGTCTGTTGTCTCTGGCAGGGTTACCTCTCACAGAGTCTGATGTTTTACGGCTACTACACTAACACCATCACCAAAACGTGCTCCACTGGTGAATCACCTGTGTGTAAAGCTGACAGGTCCCAGATAGTGCCATACAGCATGCCTGCTGCCTACTTCCTTACAATCGTCATTGCCTTCTTTATTACCTGCATCATCCTGGTGTACAGGTTGGACAATAAGTGAATTATTCATTTAGTTTGATTAAATTCCACCTGTGTTTTCTATGGTTATTTTGTTCTCTTGCAGCATGTCAAGGTCCTTTGGCAGAAGTTTGCAAGTACTCAAGTCTAAGGGGAATCTGGCAGTACAGGTTTTCTGCTCCTGGGACTTTAAAGTCAGCAAGAAGTCGTCTGTCAGATTGCACTGTGAGAACATCAGCAATCGGCTCAAAGTAGGCCATCATTTGTATATTCTGTCAGACTCGGTGAAGTGTGAAACATTACAGTCTCGCATGAGCAAACTGGCTATATATAGGTTTTTCACAGCCAAGGGCAATCTTCTGTTCAACAGTTTACACACAAAAAGTTTTAATAAGGCATTTCACACCCCACATAACACTTTTTAAAGCAGGCTCCTCAGGCTGCACATAGAGGCTAAAGGTGGCTTTCTTGTGTTTATCAGAATTTGTACTTGTTCTAAATATAATCAGTAGCAGCTGCTACAGTTGACAGAGTTGAGACACAACCAGTATATTAACGGTTTCAGCGCACTGTGGAGATGAATTAAATGTTGCTGATTCAACATAATAGACGCTGCTTTCTGACAGGAGCTTCTTTCTGAGACGATCAGCGGAGAAGACAAAAAGAGCTGCAAGCAGCGACTCTGCCGCCTCATAGTGCGTCTGCTGGCATGGGCTGCGTGTTTGGCCAGCATTTTCTCAGGCGCCATAGCAGTCCACCACATGTCAGAGGTTAGAGAAAGTGTCAAAAACAAATTTCACACATATCTAATTAGTCACAGAGTCTGTGAAATGTTTTCTTAAGAATAACTCGGCTGTAGTTGATTTACTTCTTCTTTTAATTTCCTGACAAATGTTTTTCAGTCTTTTGCAAGACTTTGTGTGAAAATGAGCAAGACTCATATCAAGACACTTTGGGTGGAGGGAAATACATAAATAGTTCAATCTTTTTAATCTGAATCTGCTTCTTTGTAATTCCTAAATAAATCAGCAAGCCCTCACTGCATTTTGTGCTTTCTGTCACAGGCCTTCATTAAGCGGCGTTCTTTCAGTGACACTGAGCTGTTGCTCTTGTCTGCAGTCGTGTCAGGCTTTAATCTGTTACTGCCTGGCTTCTTCAACCTGTGTGCTTGGTTGGAGAAACGGGACTCACCGAATGTCCGCATCTGTGTCTCCATCTTCAGGTGAGAAGATGAAGAACTCGGGGTGGGGTGGCGAGTTAATCGCAATCAATTTTTGTTCTCTTGAATTATTTAATTTACAGAGGATATTTCCCCCTTTTAACAGATATTAACGAAAAAAAATGTCTCTGTACATGGCAACAAATAGACTTGACATCACTTCAGGATCACAGACGTGTGCAGTTGCAACTGATGCTATAGAAAATAGATAAGTCTAGATAAAAATATGCAAAATGCACAAAAGAATTGGGGGGAGGAGTTCAACAACCTAACTGCCTTCATTCTCTGTGCACAGGCTCATAAAGTTGCATTTACTCAGTATATTCAATTTAGAGCTTTAAATGTCATAATATAATATGGGAAATTTTAATTGTATTCACCATCACAATGTGAAAATGATCATTATGATATGTTTAGTATATGTGGAAACAAACCATTTCTGCAGGGCTTCCAACACATTGACCCAAAATGGTTTGGTTTGGCTTGGCGGTATAAAATTTGTCACTTCAGCACAAATGATCCTTCATCAATATCATTATATGAAATCTCACTTGAGTGTGACAATATATATGCCGTGTTTTGTATTGTGTCTGTAAGTGAACTGGTAATTGCTGCATGGGAAATTCTAATAACATATTTTTGGAAGATTCATTGTTTCCACACTATTTTCTCAGGAACCTGCTGTTAAAGGTCAGTATTGTTGGAGTGCTGTGTTACCGCTGGCTGTGGAGAATTGCTGGGGAACCAGGACATCATGGTTTAAAGGTTACAAGCATTCTCATATTTGACCTTCTCACAGTTATTAAAGAATGCTATTAGGCCACAAGTGATGTTTGGACGTAGCTTTACTGACACTTACAATCTTATCTGTGCACCTTAAATCCAGTTATTGTAGATTCTTTACATTTGTGTCTCCTGTCTTCAGTGCTGGGAAAGCTTTGTGGGGCAAGAACTGTATCGTTTGCTCCTGATAGACTTTATCTTCACAGTGCTTTACACCTTTATTGGGGAGTTCCTGTGGAGGTAAGTTGGTACTTCACCCACAAATTATATGACTTGAGTCGGCTGTTTAGAAAACCATTTGTTATGGCAACCTGGTATCTTCACTTTAGGCTCTTTTCCAAACGAATGCTGAAAAGAAACAGGAAGCCGGTGTTTGACATCGCTCGTAATGTGCTGGAGCTCATATATGGACAAACCCTTACTTGGTAAATTACACAACGTTATATGACATTTTTGAAATCCATCATATATCGAACAAGAAAAGTGAACTGAAGTATTTTGCTCTCCCCAGGCTTGGCTTGCTGTTTGCCCCACTGCTTCCTGCAGTTCAAATTATCAAGCTATTTGTGCTGTTTTACATGAAGAAGGTTGGTCCAGCGTGTGTGTGTGAGATGTTTCACCATCATACAGAGCATCTACATCACTTCGAAAAAACATAACATTGTTTCTCTGGTTTATTGCACAGAGCAGTGTGATGCTGAACTGTCAAGCCTCCAGAAAGCCCTGGAGGGCCAGTCAGATGTCAACTCTATTCATCTTTATTTTGTGCTTCCCCTCATTTCTTGTTGCTGCTGTGTCTGTCATATATACATTTTGGAAGTAAGTAAGTGTCCCCTTTCTTAAAAGTAGGGTTGACAGTCCTGGGGAAAATGAACAAGACAGAGCTCGATTTTTGAAAGTAGACAACTGAAGAAATCTCGCCCTTTCATTTTGACTTTTCTCCAAAGCCACTCCTCCAAAACACAACATGCACTGGCTGACTACTATGTACAGTTTTCAGGAAAATAACAAATGCCTCCCAAATAAACGAAAAGGAATAGTTGCCTGTCCAGCAGAAATGCGGCCACCGTGGCGTCACTTTTCAGCCCCTTTTGCTCTCTCAGTTTTACCGTCGTGCAAAAGCCACACCAATGTTGATTTTGGTTTTACTTCTTGCAGCATCCATCTTTTTTAGTTGTAACTTTCTTGAATGGGGGGGGGGCTCTGGCTCGTGGCTAAACTGCTTTAGTCCTGGCCCATAGCCGGCAACTAGCTTTATGAATCTGGGCTTTCTGGCAGGAGAGGTGAAGAGGGAGGTCAGCTAACACCGTTCTAATCACAGGCTTTATTCCGTCCACACTGTATGTGGACTCTTAGACCTGACTACTGTTGGTATTTTACACAACCGTGGCTGCGTGTAAAAGCAGTCTGTTTCATGTGGCGGTCTTCTCACTCCCACACTGCATACAGGTCGCAATTTGTGGCAACAACATTGCCTATAAGGCTATATGTCTTAAAGGGGGAAGGCTGGGCCTGTAACAACAGTCTCCATTTGCGAACGAAAGCTGCTGTGGGTACCTTCTCTGCCAAAGCTCACAAACTTAAACTATCAAAACAGAGTGGTAACACATCTGTCTGCAACTCCAGTGCCTTGTGGGGAAACTCTTGGCTAATGCACTGAGTGCACAGGCACAGTGTGCGCAAATAGGAAGTTAGGTTGACAGGCAGGTGGGCCATTTGATGGTTTTGCTTAGGGGTTTTTTTAGCCCTGCTGCTGTCACAGATGCCATCTAGGCTATTTTTAGTCTACCTTATCTATGCTGCCCTGGTACTGTTAATAGTCACTTCAAGCCACAGCTGAAAATAGTCCAAAACAAAGGTGGTGTTTATTCCCTAAATGTTTGTTAAAACTACAATGTGAAGCTGTTTTAAATACGTTAAACTATACAGTACACCGTATTTATTGACAAATTTCTAAAGGAATAATTTCATATTTTACATGTTCTCTATTTTCTTAGCTAGGAAGAGTGATACTAGTCTTTTGGCTGTGGGGTAAATATGAAGCTACCTTTGTTAGAAAAGCACAAATACTGGAAACAGGATGATGTAGCTAACCTCTAGGTATACATAACAGAATCCACTTACAAGTGCTTCTAAAGTTCACTAATTAACATGTTGTAGTTTATTTTAATCAGTATAAAAATGACAACTGTGATTTGTGCCATTTCTTGTCCAAGACCAGTGACCAAGCAACCAGTGAACCCTCGAGGAAACTATTAGTCTCAGTGTAGAAATACTCAGTGCTATCAATCCTCTCATCCTCTCATCCAACTCTGTAAGAAAGCAATTGAGTGTATATGCCCAAATACCAAGCTGTATGAAAGACTGTCTTCAGTGAAAATAAATGGGGTTTGGGCTGAACAACATAGGCAAGGTGGGAAAGCTGGAAAATATTAAAATCTGGACTAACACACTATGGCTCTATTTTTTTATGAGACTACTCAGCACTATGAAAAATATAGAATAACCCTGGCCAGCCTCAGTGATTTCTTTCTCTTGAGCTTCAAGCACTAAGACTTGAAAAGGTGTTACTGCCCAAATCCCCACAGACTTCACTGTATCTTCAAAATCCATTTGTCTGTTGTTGCCAGAATTACACCATCATCAGGGTGCGGCCCCTTCAGGAATCTCACCACAGTGTTTCAGTCAAGCAAGCTGTTGCGCCAGGAGCTGGAGATAAGTCACCCAGCCTTGTCTTGGCTCACCTGGCTGTACAGCTCTCTGGTGGAGAACCCACTGATTTTATTTTCCACCACCGGAGTTTTTCTGTGAGTGTGTCATGGTCACAAACAATTTTTTTGTGTAATATTAACATTTCACATTTGCTGATCCCTTGTTTTCTGTTTTTCAGAATGGTGATATACTTTCACAATCAGGTTGTTGACGGTCAAAGGCAAATCATCGCTCAGTTAGAAAAGCAAATTGAAAATGTATGAATAATCAAACTATGCATTTTAACAAGTCTAAGAATCCACACCCATGCTAACAGTTCAGTGAAGCTGTACAAAATTTTATGGAAATTCATCAAATACTACAGTCTGGGCCTACTACTGTACATGGTTAAAAGTACAAGACGCATGCACAGTATATTCGTTTTAATGTATGCTTTTGTACTTTTTCTTGTATACAGGAGGGTAAGGACAAAAAGTTCCTCATCACCAAATTGCAAGAGAGCAGTGAACAAAATAATTTGGTTTCCCCTCAATAGATAAGGTGAGTAGTCTCATTATTATACATTAATAGGCCTTATTGTGATGGCAATGTCCTGTTTTAGTTAATGTTTTAATGGCCTCATTCATAATCTAACAATACTTTGTGTTTTTATTTCCCCAGTTTGTGGCTGAACAATATTCACAACATACTATAGCTAAGGCACAGTACCTATGCCAAGATGATGGGTTTTCAACATCATCAGTGATGTGACTTATACCAAGAGCTAAAGTAAAAACCAAACTTGTAACAGAATGTTAGTTTCAAATACATATGCCAGAAAGTTTGAGTTCTTAATGTGCTGGATGAAAACAAACTTAATGGAGCCATTTGTTTTATTTACACAGTGAGGTCTTGTTTGTATGTCAGGATGTATATTTGTATTTTTCGGGCTCGTGGCTAAACTGCTTTAGTCCTGGCCCATAGCCGGCAACTAGCTTTATGAATCTGGGCTTTCTGGCAGGAGAGGTGAAGAGGGAGGTCAGCTAACACCGTTCTAATCACAGGCTTTATTCCGTCCACACTGTATGTGGACTCTTAGACCTGACTACTGTTGGTATTTTACACAACCGTGGCTGCGTGTAAAAGCAGTCTGTTTCATGTGGCGGTCTTCTCACTCCCACACTGCATACAGGTCGCAATTTGTGGCAACAACATTGCCTATAAGGCTATATGTCTTAAAGGGGGAAGGCTGGGCCTGTAACAACAGTCTCCATTTGCGAACGAAAGCTGCTGTGGGTACCTTCTCTGCCAAAGCTCACAAACTTAAACTATCAAAACAGAGTGGTAACACATCTGTCTGCAACTCCAGTGCCTTGTGGGGAAACTCTTGGCTAATGCACTGAGTGCACAGGCACAGTGTGCGCAAATAGGAAGTTAGGTTGACAGGCAGGTGGGCCATTTGATGGTTTTGCTTAGGGGTTTTTTTAGCCCTGCTGCTGTCACAGATGCCATCTAGGCTATTTTTAGTCTACCTTATCTATGCTGCCCTGGTACTGTTAATAGTCACTTCAAGCCACAGCTGAAAATAGTCCAAAACAAAGGTGGTGTTTATTCCCTAAATGTTTGTTAAAACTACAATGTGAAGCTGTTTTAAATACGTTAAACTATACAGTACACCGTATTTATTGACAAATTTCTAAAGGAATAATTTCATATTTTACATGTTCTCTATTTTCTTAGCTAGGAAGAGTGATACTAGTCTTTTGGCTGTGGGGTAAATATGAAGCTACCTTTGTTAGAAAAGCACAAATACTGGAAACAGGATGATGTAGCTAACCTCTAGGTATACATAACAGAATCCACTTACAAGTGCTTCTAAAGTTCACTAATTAACATGTTGTAGTTTATTTTAATCAGTATAAAAATGACAACTGTGATTTGTGCCATTTCTTGTCCAAGACCAGTGACCAAGCAACCAGTGAACCCTCGAGGAAACTATTAGTCTCAGTGTAGAAATACTCAGTGCTATCAATCCTCTCATCCTCTCATCCAACTCTGTAAGAAAGCAATTGAGTGTATATGCCCAAATACCAAGCTGTATGAAAGACTGTCTTCAGTGAAAATAAATGGGGTTTGGGCTGAACAACATAGGCAAGGTGGGAAAGCTGGAAAATATTAAAATCTGGACTAACACACTATGGCTCTATTTTTTTATGAGACTACTCAGCACTATGAAAAATATAGAATAACCCTGGCCAGCCTCAGTGATTTCTTTCTCTTGAGCTTCAAGCACTAAGACTTGAAAAGGTGTTACTGCCCAAATCCCCACAGACTTCACTGTATCTTCAAAATCCATTTGTCTGTTGTTGCCAGAATTACACCATCATCAGGGTGCGGCCCCTTCAGGAATCTCACCACAGTGTTTCAGTCAAGCAAGCTGTTGCGCCAGGAGCTGGAGATAAGTCACCCAGCCTTGTCTTGGCTCACCTGGCTGTACAGCTCTCTGGTGGAGAACCCACTGATTTTATTTTCCACCACCGGAGTTTTTCTGTGAGTGTGTCATGGTCACAAACAATTTTTTTGTGTAATATTAACATTTCACATTTGCTGATCCCTTGTTTTCTGTTTTTCAGAATGGTGATATACTTTCACAATCAGGTTGTTGACGGTCAAAGGCAAATCATCGCTCAGTTAGAAAAGCAAATTGAAAATGTATGAATAATCAAACTATGCATTTTAACAAGTCTAAGAATCCACACCCATGCTAACAGTTCAGTGAAGCTGTACAAAATTTTATGGAAATTCATCAAATACTACAGTCTGGGCCTACTACTGTACATGGTTAAAAGTACAAGACGCATGCACAGTATATTCGTTTTAATGTATGCTTTTGTACTTTTTCTTGTATACAGGAGGGTAAGGACAAAAAGTTCCTCATCACCAAATTGCAAGAGAGCAGTGAACAAAATAATTTGGTTTCCCCTCAATAGATAAGGTGAGTAGTCTCATTATTATACATTAATAGGCCTTATTGTGATGGCAATGTCCTGTTTTAGTTAATGTTTTAATGGCCTCATTCATAATCTAACAATACTTTGTGTTTTTATTTCCCCAGTTTGTGGCTGAACAATATTCACAACATACTATAGCTAAGGCACAGTACCTATGCCAAGATGATGGGTTTTCAACATCATCAGTGATGTGACTTATACCAAGAGCTAAAGTAAAAACCAAACTTGTAACAGAATGTTAGTTTCAAATACATATGCCAGAAAGTTTGAGTTCTTAATGTGCTGGATGAAAACAAACTTAATGGAGCCATTTGTTTTATTTACACAGTGAGGTCTTGTTTGTATGTCAGGATGTATATTTGTATTTTATATATTTTATAAATGAATGAATAATGACCTTGAACGTGTTCTATGAAAATACAAAATGCATTTATTTTAACACATTATTGTGTTATTGCTGTCTTTTTGACAAATTAGTCAAATGGAAACGGACCCTAAATGAAAACAGTGTATAAAGTTCAGACTTGGAGGAACTTCTTCAGCACCGGTTCTGTTGCTGAGTGTTCCACGACTGTGTGTTTGTGTATGACAATAAAAGATGAAAAGACCAGATCTGGTCTCCTGACCCTTCTTCCCGGCTGACGTTTCTATACCTATATACACGCCATATCTATAACAGGTGAAATATAACGATTGAAATTTATTTAACAGATGAGAGAAATACAAACAACTCGAAGTGTTTATTGTCATATGCACAGTTAGGAAACATGTTTCCCTTTGCAATGACATTCTTACTTTGCTGTCCATATGAATGCCACGCAATACAAATGAAATATAAAGTAGGTAATTAAGTAACACAAAATCTAAGGCACTTTAAGCAGCAAATGAAGAAATATAATGTATGCTACATGGGAGCTGTATGTGCAGTAGTCAACAGTGAATGTGCAATAATGCATGTGCAAACTGAGAATGTAAACAGTACAGGTCGACAGTACATGACCTATTTCCTGGTAATAAACTCCTGTCAGCTGTTTAGGAGTCTGATAACAGAGGGAAAGAAAGAGTTTTGCAGTCTAGAGGTCCTGCATTTCACACTTTTGAGCCTCTGGCCAGAGAGTAGGGAGGTGAACAGTCTGTGCTACGTATGATCACATACATTAGCTAGAAAGAGGCTGGGGGATGTCTGCAGGCGCTTGTGGTCCATAGCAGTAGTGCTGCCATACCAGACAGTGATGCATCTGGTCAAGATGCTTTCAATGATGCAGCTGTAAAAGTTGCAAAGGATCCTAGGAGACATACCAAACCTCCTCAGCCTCCTCAGGAAGTACAGCCGCCGTTGGGCCTTCTTGACCAGCTGTGTGGTGATAAGTGACCTATCACTGCGGTGTCGTCCGTGAACTTTAGGATGGTGTTGTCCTTGTGGGAGACGACACAGTCATGGGTGAACAGGGTGTAGAGGATGGGACTGAGGACACATCCTTGTGGGGTGCCAATGTTTGTAACAATGCTGGCTTAAGTCCTGTTGCCAGTCCTGAGTCTGGGGCCTGCCAGTCAGAAAGTCCAGCAGCCAGTCACAGAGGGTGGGGTGCAGACCCAGTGTGGACAGTTTGTGGGGGGTAACTGTGTTGAAGGCGGAGCTGTAGTCAATGAAGAGTATCCTGATCCAGGTGAGAAAGGTAATAATGAAGGGCAGCTGCAATAGAGTCTGAGGCGGCCCTGTTGGACCAGTAGGCATACTGCAGGTGGTCCAGGGGGTCCAGTATATTGCTCTGAATGTGGGCCAGCACCACTCTCTCAAAACACTTCATAATGATTGGAGTGAGTGCCACTGGCCTGTAGTCGTTCAGGCAGGTGACCAGGCTCTTCTTGGGAAGGGGGACGATGGTTGTGGTCTTAAAGCAGGTGGGAATGATGTAGTATGAAAAGTACCAAATTAGGTATTCACAGATGTAATGCATAATGTAAAGAACTGCAAGTGAAATGGAAATGAAATATGGAAAAACATTACTACAAAACACAAATATCAGTTTTTCCTTTTTATTATGGTTTACTTTCTCCGGAGGGCGGTGCAACTGACGTCAGAGATTTACGGCCAATCTCTATGCAGAAAACAAAGGCTCAGCGTCACAACGTCAAAACATGGCGGAGGCGGATGCAGAGCTTACTTTCAAAAAGGTAGGAGCAAGAATATCTTTCTCTTGATTATTATTGTTTGTGTAGATTCCTCCCGTGATATTTAGATGTTAATATTGCCTCTTAATTACCTCCAGTAAGCATCCCGACGACCCAGAATACCTAAATTGTTTCTTGTATCAGACAGTAGCTGAACGTTTACATCTCGCTAGTAGCATTCTGTCTATTCGCAATATATTTACGCCGAATGAAAGAAAGTGCTATGTAGACACTATTTTCAGGTATAACATCGGTTACTTTGTCCTAAAGCTTATTAAACTGACTTTTATTCGAAGGCAGTTTGGTATGAGAAAGACATGTACGAGCCAAGTTATATAGAAAGTCAAATTAGAGCTTTGCAAATGTACGTTAACGTTAGATACGTATTTTTGTACGTTTTGTGTTCATGACTACACAAAATTGTCAACTTTTCACTAATAGCTAACTTCTGGTATATTTATGAGCGTTATTGATAAACATAATCCCGAAGGATTTACTCTGTGGACAAGCTCTACTGAGAACCTGTCAAATACACTGCATAGCCTGTTATAATGTGTTTTTATTTTCATTTACAGGACACAGTAGGCAAACTCTTGTCTAGTTTCTTCAAGGAGGACAAAACCAGAAGTGAGTTGGACACATGTTGTCCTGATACAAGTGATGTTACCCAAACTGTTTGTGTTGTAATTTGACAGCTGAACAATGTCCCTGTTACAGTAAGTGGTGATGCTGTGCTGCTCATGGCAGAGATGTTAAGAATATTTATCCAAGGTAAGGAGGTCTGTTGGACACAGCTGGATACAGTCTGAAGCACAGTACTTGATAATTTAGTGATGACACTGTTCATCTCTTGTGCCATTTTCAGAGGCTGCTGTGAGATCACAGAAACAAGCCGACTCTGAGGACTGTGACCAAGTGGACATTGAGCACTTTGAAAAGATCCTACCTCAGCTGGTGCGTATCTCAACACGCTCAACAGAACTGGGGCATTGATGTCAGTTCAGAGATTCTATTTTCTTATTAGCCTCCTGAATTTTTAATGACTTCTGTGATTTACACTCTGCCTGGATCCTTTAGATTATATTAATTGATTATCTGTGCAACTTATCTACACGATTTCATCTGCTTTATTACAGCTCATCATAAGAACAAATCAAATATAGGGCTTTCAGCGGGGTCACTGATTATTGACTGAATCTTCTTGTATCTGAGTTAGGATTCAGGGTCTTTACAAATCAGAACCGGAATCAAATAACTGAAATCCATTTCCCTGAACTCTGGACTGGCTCAAACTGCTAATATCGATAAAATATCAGATGGACGAGTCTCGGATATCATTGTTGTACACAGGTTTAATTCCAATAAAAATCTCACTGTCCATCTGTTTTTCTAATGCAGCTGCTGGACTTCTAGCACAGTGATGCCACAAGATGGAGGCAGAGTGCTGCCTGCGTGTCCCTGCTTCAGTCTTACGGCTACAAATTTAGTTTAACTGATGGTTTCATTTTTTTTTCTGTATAACTGACATTTCATACTCACTTAACTCTGAGATCACATTAAAATTCTCATTTTGTATTTGTTTGAGTTGTGTGATTTTAAGTAGAGAGCTACAGTGCTGTCCACACACCTCCGTGCCACCACCAATAAGGCCCACCTGTGCTCCACTGTGCAACAACAGGTGCTTCCAGCATGCTCCACGGCGCCCTTCATCAAAGCCTCTTGGAGCAGTTGGAAGCAATTAGAGTAATAAGGGGAGCAGCCAGTCTCTTAGATGATGACAAATGCCAGGAAAAAAGGAGTACCCCCTCCGGCCACTTTGAAGTTCCCTTTTGCTGTCCTGAGATGTTTAGTTAGAGGTGGGGGGGGGTGGCAAAGGGGACCTCTGGCACAGAGGGAAAGTTGAATGGGAGTGTGCGTGCATGAATGTGTGCATGTGTTAGCCAAACATGGCCAGAGACCACACGCATAGATATTCTGTTTGAAAGAAAACATAACAAAACACATTGGAACATGGTCCAAGAAGAGCAGGGTGTAATTTTGAAGGTAAATAAACAAAAGAGGCGAGTAGCAGAGGTGCTGTCTCTCCTTTCATCACAGCAGAGGGGGAAGTTGCGAAGGTGGGGGTGAAGTGGGGTTTTCTAACACAAGTGGCTCTGATGATTTTCCACTAGTGGTGTATTTGACCAGCGTGTCTTCACTGTGAGTCAGCATAGCTGTACAACACCTCACGCTGTTTATTTGTGTGGCTCTCAGGATGACTCACTACACTTACAAATGCTGCTCATGTACACCTGGAAACAACTAGAGGCTAGAGTCAAAAGAGTCCAGGCTCAGCTAGGTGCTCAAGGATGCGGCACCTGGAATTTGACCTAGCACCTTTTTTTGTAAAGCCCAGGCTGGATTTGTGTTTCCCAGGAGTATTCCACAGCAAGCCTTCGCAAGAAGCTTGGTTTGACTGAGTGATGTTTAGTTGTTTAACACAATATATTCTTATTAGCATAGTAAAATACAAATTGGAAAAAAGGTATATTTTTTATATAGCCGTTGTGGTGTTTAACCATTCTAGTATATAGCCATTATATATTATATTCCAACTGTTAGCCCTTGAAATAAAATCTTATTTTCTTGGATTTCTCATGGGTAAGGTCTTTTATTGGCAAAGAAGTTCAGTACTGTACAACTGTTCTCTTTATGTACCTTAGTGGATATGAAGGCTGTATTATAAAACATATGAAAGCAGTTAGGACAAGAATTGGGAGGGGTGTTGAAGAGAGTAATGAGTTAAAGCTTCTTTTTTTTTTTTTGATCATACATTAAAGTCGGGGAGTGTCGACAGCTGGCCCCAGTGCTTTGGAGAATCTCTGGAGTGCAAAGCCTTTTCTAGGAGACAGGGACCGATCTGTCTCCAGCGTTCTGGCTGGTCTTTGGATATTGCTGCACATGGGATAAGGCCCTCATCACAGCTTGAACATATCTGTCTGATTATAGCCATCAATACTGATTTTAGAGAAGGGCCAGTGACTCCAAGGGCGATTCTTTATTTTTCAGTTGTACATCGAGTTGAATTTTTATCAGTATGTCTGTACGGTTTTATGTGAAAAATCTCAGCATTGGCAGTTTGCATCACAAACAAGACAAAAGTATAATACACAGTATAATAATCAAATTTTATTGATCTCTGGTGGAAAATTCACAAGCTACCCAGCAGTCATTCATGTTAATATCATAAAACTAGCTCCCTCTTTATGGTTGCAACATTAAATGTGATGTACACAATGCATCAGTAATTATAATCCAATAATATGATTTACATTCATGTTAAATATGCCATTCTGCACAATTAGTACTTTTGCTTTCAGTACTTTAAATATTTATTGGTGCTAATACTTTGTACTTTTACACATGTAGTGTTTTTACACTGTTGTATTCTTACTTTTACTCAAGTAAGGGATCTGAGTACTTCTTCCACCGGTGCATATAGCATGCATAAAACATTGACTTTTACCCTGAATTTTTGAATAACTACATTTATTGTACCATATACATCATTTGCATTTGTTAATGCTGCAAGATGTTACTGTTTTTACTGACAGACCTTATACTTTTCTGAATCTGAAGCTACAGGTGTCATTATCCATACGTGCCATTTTATCCCATAATTTTAGTTGCACATTTTTAATGAGTTTTTATATAATAAATATATGATTGTGTGCACCTATTATTAGATGTTTGTGTGCATGTATGTGCTTGCATGCATGTTGTGCTTGATCTGGGGCTGTGATGCATTAGTGCTCAGGAGAAAAGAGGCCCTTGTGGCCCCCTCATGGGCATGGAGCTTTCTAACCATGGAGAATACTGCAGAGGACACAGAGCAAGTGCATTCTTTTTAGATGCTTCACACACAACACATGCTTGAAAAGTTACAAACATTTACAGCACTGTCAACAAAACACAGACAAAACACAGGTGTAAGTGTTTGGTGCATATGCATTTTACAGACATTTTCCATGTATGGAGAGAATGCAAACACTGAGGCAGTATCTCTGTTGACTGTATATACTGCTGTGACAGGCAGGTTTCCTGGAGGCCCTGGGCCTCTACCGGGGCCTGGGGTCTACAAGCTAAGCTTTCGTTAAGGAGCCAAAGGGCTCATGATGGGGATGATTAGGACATACCTGGCAGTTTGAGCCACTTGGGCGCTCTGCTGGGATCACTCCTAGCTAGTTGTGGTGCTTGGCTGTTAGTCTGAGGCTGGAGATGGTCTGCTGCTGTGATCTGTGTGTCGTCTGGGACTTTGGTAGCTGCAGGGAGTGGAAAGGATTCTTCCGGAACCAGTGAGGTGGATGATAAGGTCAAAGACCTTAGCATGCAGCTGAAGAGGGAAACAGGGAGCAAGAGAGATGTTCAATTAGGCCCACAGCTGGGCTATTTCTGGAGCCCTGTGCCCTAGACTGCTACCTTAACTATATTACCCTCCCCTTTCACTACAAGTCCCCTCTACTCTTTGTCTCCACCTCCCTTCTTTGAGTGGTGGCCTACATGGTCAGGGCGCAGGCAAAAACAAAGTAATCCCCTTATGTAACACTGCACAAATTCAGCAAAACAAGACCATTCAATTAATTTTGGAAGCTTCTAAAAATAAAGCAGTGGTGATGTCAAAAGTGGTGTGTGTTGGCCGAGGTGAACTCGCATCCCAAATGAGCTGAGCAGTCTATTTTTAGGTCCCATCAAAAGCAGTGATATAAAAATACTCCAGTAGTTAACCTCACAAGATACTGTATGTCAGTCACATGTAGAGAAGCTGTGAACCTGAAGGTCATGCATTCACATAATTGATAATGTTTAAAAAGAAGCAAGTAATGAATGAAATCTCTTTAGCTGGTGGCAGGTGGCACAGTGTGAGGTTGAAGTTTGTTAGACTTGTTAAAGAACTTCATCAGCAGAGATGTGAAGCCTTCAGAGATGGGCCAATATTCATAGTGTGGACAAGATCAAACCATCAGGCTGAGTCTGAGGCCCAGCTTTGTCTCTCAAAAATCTCAAGCCTGAAGGAAGACACTATAAACAAGATTTCATACTACTTTCCCATATTTTGTATTGGGTCAGACAAATCTATCTAAAGTTGTCTTCACAAGTTCAGAGGCCAGCATGTTGACTGTCTTTCCTCACAGGGGCACCGGAACTTTAAATTAGCGCTTGTGAGTCAATAGGACAGCTTTCATGTAGACAAGGGCTCATGTCAGATTGCAGGAGAGGTCAGGACGGAGGGGTCAGAGGTCAGGATGCAGTTTTGGTCCTTGTCTTTAACAGCTTCCTGTCTGTTGTGTTGTACAAACATGAGCTGTGATCCCTTGTGGTACAGGTTCATAGCAAAGAGATTGCCTCATTCTCTGTTTCAGGTACAGGACTCACCACTTCCATTTTAATTGGTCACACTGATCCATGCCTACTGTTATGGTGGTTTATTTTTATTCACAATAGAGACATGCTTGGCTGTATGGATGGCAGTGCTGGTCGGTCAGGCTGTTTGTTGGTGGGTAGGTAACAGATGGATTGTTGAATCACTTTGTACAGCTCCCCAGAGGATGAGTTATACATCCTCCCCTGCATCACCATGAGGTTCGTAGCACCATGACTTTTGAATGACAAAAACAATTGGATGAATTGCTAAGACATTTAGTTCAAACTTCATGTCCCTAAGAGGATTAATTCTTAAAACTTGGGTGATCTCTTAACATTTCATCAGTTTTATTTCAGTTTGTCAATAACTGTCATTTATGACCAAACACTTTTAAAACTGACATTCCCACAAGCCGCTGCTATGTTTAGTGTTAATAAGAAAATGTCAGTGTGCTGTCACACTAAACTAAGATAGTGAACACATCAGTAAGTTAAAATTTTCATTGTGAATATATCAGCAGCAAATTACTTCAGACCAATCCTGAACCATAAACTCTGTTGTGAAATTTGGTCTGTCCTCATTTATTTGACCATTGGCTCTGAATATTTTATTTCAAGATCTTGCACCAATGCTCTAGCTCACCCTCAGATTTTGAAGGTGCACTTGTTTCTTCACATTTTTAGTTCTGTAGTGGTAGAGGGAAGGTGGAACGTCGGGGCGTATATAGGAGACACAGCAGAGTGCTACATTGCGACGTGACTCCTTTTCTCTCAGAGAGCAAGAGAAATGGAGGAAGCAACTGTGGCTCTCTTTGTTTCTCTGGCATGGCAAAAGGGTGACTGGGAGAGGCGATTTCCCAGCCTGTCTTCACGACAGACTGGAAATAAATCAGAGCTGCTGAAAACATGTTGGTTTTAATGCCACATCACACAACTGGAACCTGGATGATGTATGTTTGCTGCTGTGGGGGACACTTGGCCCTAAAACACTTATTTGAATCACAGGATTATTTTTTTCTTTTAATGAGAATTTCTAACAAAGTGGAATATAGAAGAAGTGGCTGCCAACACAAGATGACCTCTAACCTTTGAAGGGAGGTACATTGCTCCACTCTCTCATAATTGTTCTATCTTCATCTGACAGAGTGGTGAAAAGGATTCATGCTTTCTCCAGA